ATTATCCGGAGAGAGAAAAAGAGCCATCATCTTCTGCAATTCACTCTGACCATAATTCCTCCAGATCTCAATCAACTTCCAGACAATTATCAAGGGCATTATCTCGGTCTCCATCACCATCCAGGTCGAAATCGGTGTCTTCAAAGAATATATCCCAGTATTCTTCTCCGAGGTCCTCACCTTCACGGCATTCTGGACCCAAGACCTCTAAGTCATGGTCCACATCGAGGTCAATATCTCCCTCTTCAATCGAAAGAAAAGAAAATTCCAAAACTTCTGTGGCAAATGCTGTTAGCCTAGGCCACAGTGAAGACCTATCTGAAGAGGAGGCGGGTGCATTAGGAGCTGAAAATATCCCATCTGCAGTAGAAGGTGAATTTGAGACAGGACTTACCAAACTGGAAGAGGAGAATATGACAAAAGGTCTATCCAAGCATGGTGAATTTGTCTCTGGAGGCTCGCATGACCTTTTGGAGTCAGATGTGCCAAAATCAATTGGCGATGTCCGTAATATTGATAATTTGTCTTTGCACGGTGTGGAAGAGAGAAACGATTCACAAAATGAGGATTTTGTGGGAGAAGACATGCTGGCACAGGAGTCTGATGTTGTTTCTGTGAGGTCTGATGCTCGGAGTTGTGCAAGAATGTCTTCAGAGGAAATGTGCATGGTTCTGGAACACTACGGCCTGCAGTACCCTGATGAAAAAGAAAAGAATTTATCTGTGGAGACGTACTTTGGTTGTGCACGCTTATGGCCTTGGGAGATGATATTCTACAGGAGATTGAAAAGGGGCCTTATATCAACTGAGAATTATTCTCGGAGACTTGCTCAGAATGAAGAATTTGGCATCGTTGATAAATATATCAGAAGCAGTAGTGGGTGGGGAGAACTGAATTAGCTTGATTCTCGAGCGGCTTTCTCGTTGATAATTGCTTCTGTTCTTCCTCAGTGGTCTCATTATCATACTTTTTGTCGTCCAGTCTATTAAGAAATGCTTCCGAATTTATCATACCTAATTCTTATTCAGGTACCGGCAGTTATGGTTCTTTTGGTCATGTTTGGAGGCTATGACATGATTTGCCATGAGTCTAAGTTACTCATGGTCTAACTGCTAATGTATTCACATATGGAAGAAAAATATCTAGAAGTCTATGTTGACATATATTTGGTAGATTGCTTAGATGTGGATGTAGTTAATATTTGTTACTAGTGGGGTTAGTTCTTTTGAGGTCTAAAACTAATCCTGATTCTGTATGTAACATCTCTTTGTTTGGGCAACAAAGTTGTTTTGGTATCTAATAGTTATTACTTTTTGGTTAAATACTGTTTCATCACCATCTCTTTATAATGCATTCATACTAATTTTAACTTTTGCCAGTTGACCTTAATATAATTCATTTTTTGTTGAAAAGAAGCTTTCCATGTTTTTTAGATTGTAAAAGGTATAAATGGGAATCAGGTAAATGATATCCTTAAGCATCACCTTCTGTAGAACACAATTGAATAGTCATAAAGCTTATTAGTTAAAGAAACTGAAACTGGGTGATAAATGGTTAAATTGTGGATTCTGATTCCAGTTTTGGAATGCATATTGGTAGTTTTGGAATCTTGGCGATAACATATCATGTGGATATTCGTAAATACAGTGGTAAAAGGTATGGGTGACATAGAATGTGCAGATTATGCTCTCCAATTGACAACTGACTTGCCCAAATTTTCTTTTGTAACCAACATTTAATTATTTTTGCTTGTATATTTTGCATAATTTCTTCTTTTGAGTGTTAAATTTTTATCTGATTAGCTGGAAAGAAACTGCACATATAGAAATTCAAATGCTAAAACCCTTCTTTTATTCAGAAAATAATTAATACAGTTGTCATGGAGTGGTCCGGTTGGGGGTTGGATATTGTTGCATGAGGGGAGTTGTCATGGAGTGGTCGGGTTTGTTTCCACTCGGTTGATTTTGTCCAATGGTCCACTAACAGTTATGAATGCATGCTGTTCATCGTTTTGCACAATTTTTTATTGTATCTGCAGGTGAAGTTTCTTGTTAAGGAATTTAAGAAGTATTCTATGAAAATACCAAGGTTTTCAGTTGACCCGTTAAATACAGACCAATTTTGGCTAGAAGTGTCGGAACCAAAACATAAATATATTGAGGTAAAGGATTATCCCCAAATATTTAAATTATGAAAAGGGAGTCGGGAGTGGGTTCATTCTCCCAAGTGAAAGGACTGATCCATCTTGTAAGGTATGCTACTCAACTTCTTTAACCTTGTGCTAGGTATTATTTAATATTTCGGGCTTCTACAATTATATTTTATCGCGTTGATTTATTTGTCCCTTATGTTATTTATGGTGCAATCAGTATTGTTCCATGTTAGGCTTCTCTGCAATTTAAACATATCGGAAAGTCGTGGGCCAATATTAGGAATTTCGCTGTGTATCGAATGGAAATAACTCTTTGTGTTGGGAGAAGTGTAAAAGTTCCATTGTATGTGTTCAAGGTGTTCGTTCACCTGTAATTTATACCCAACTGCTTATCTGTAATTTCAACTGTTAACTTTGGCGCGCTAGTCACTACACAGATCACTCATTTGGTTAGACGATTTTGGTGATCAAAGGAAAGCAACGTGAAATAAAATTATAAATTCTTTTTGTTTTCCTTCCCCAGCACCCAACCAAACAAAATTAGTACTCTCGATTACTTGCTTTCATGTTCTCACCAAAATCCTTGTACTAAAGAGGGAGTTAAGGTAGTTACTGGGCATCAATAACATAAGATGATTTGAGGTTCATAATTAGGTAATATAACAGTAGTTGCTGCAATTTATAGTTTCTTGATTTATTCAAGTTGGCAAAGCTCATAAATGTACAATTATGGGTTTATTGGTTGATTTAAAAAACTTGATGTTTTTTATGCATGCATCTGGTTCAACTTTATCCGAAGAACGACAAGGTGATTCTGAAATTTATAGTTTGAGTATGAAGTTGGATTAGTATATGCATTGAGATTGTCCTCTAACAAAAGTGCAAAGTGCAAGAGAATCACTCTTTTTTTTATTTAATTTTTTTTTTTGTGACCGGACATGTTATCTTAAGTTTATTTTTTACGAAACCCAATCACTATGTGTTTTACTTTGAGTAGGTACGGAAAGGGATAGGAAAACTTGCAGTATATGTTTAATATTCTTGCAACATATTTAAGGTACATATATTATGTTTGGTAGGCCGTCGCCACATTTTCGAGCATCATGCTTTATAGCCTACAACTATTTAGCTGTACCGGGACATAGCACCAATGCCCACATTTTAGGACTTAAGTTGCTTGAAGTGGGAGAAATTTAGAGTGGAGGACAGAGGCGTTAAATGTTCAAACTTTATATGAAATGAATGCTTAATGTTAAAGAAAGCTATCTTTCCATTATCATTCATTTCCTTCCTGTCTAAGAAAATCACAGGTTTGACCAAGGAAAAAGAAGGTAAGGGAGATAACGTGAGCCGAGTCGAACGCTTACTTAAGACTCGAGATAATAGAGAAGTAAATAGAATTCACTAGGACATTACGTATTGCATATGAAACACTAAGGCGTATAAAGCGACAAGGAAAGGTGAGGTAGATTGCCAGGAAAAAAAGAAAGAAAGAAACAAATAGTAAACGTAGAATATGAATAAGATAATGATAACTATATCACAAAGTATTGAGTTTGTATTTATCATATTGACGCAATAGCCTCCTTATTCCCTCTCAACCGCCTCAATTACTCTTGCATTTATTTGGTTTTAATGGGCTCTCAATCTAATACAGTCACCTGTTTTTCAATGCTTGAACTACTCAATCCTTGTACATTGACCTTATTGCCCTCCTTCTTGGTTGTAACTAACATCTTTGACCTCAATGCCTCCATAATCAACTTCACATGCTGCATACCGTATGTGGTCATTCATTGATTATTCTGCTAAGTTGCAATATTGGCTTTGAACTTCTTGGTGTGGCATTTATTTTTCGACGTAATTTAGTCAGCTAAATTTGTTGCCCTTTTAACTCGTCATTTGTGATATCGGTAAAAGTTGTTTCTTGCCATCTAATTTTTTTCTAGCTTAAGCTCTAACTCTGTTCCTCGTGCACCAACTTCTATCCGGAAAACGATTTTGCAACTGTAAAAGGTTAATTAGAATCGGCTTTCGGTTGAAGGAGTATGCGAGAAGTATACGTGTGGTGATTAGTAACTGGCTACATGCACGATTTAATTCGACAGCGATGTTTTTTCACTTGAAATGATGGAGTTTATTTTCGCTAATGTAACATGATGGTAAATCTTTGGTATGAATATTAGGAAAATGCTACCATCCCGTGTTCCGTTGTCTTTTGTAGCCGTAGATATACATGTAATCTAGTAATGTGTAGATAAGAACCATCCCGTAACGGGATGTTAGCATTCTCCTAAATATTAGTGGGTCCAGAAGAGAAATGTATACTTTCTTTTAAAGTTCCAAATGTTGACACTTGTGGACACCCAGGTAACTCAACATTTCATCTATTAAAGGCAATCCTTTTTTTTTTCCTGATATTTTGGTATTAGTCAATTTTTTATGTTTCTTCATCTCTATCTCTCCCTCTCTCTGTTTACTGATTTTCCCATAGTGTCATGCTTTGATTGGGGACTTGAA